GGGGGCCATCCTGGGACGCCTCTTGGGCGTCTCTGGGGCCGTCGTGGATGGGCCTTGGCGAGGCCTTTTTCGGCGGCCTTGACCTCTCTTGGAGCGCTCTTGGGCCGTTTTGGGGGTGTCTGGGGCCGTCCTGGGCGCCTCTTGGGCCGCGTGAGCGCTTCTGGGGCGTCCCCGGAGCCGTTGTGGGGAATTTTATGGCGGTCAAGACAGGGACCCTTCCCGCACGCGCGGGTCCCTGCATTGTAGAGAAGACTGGGGTGAGCCCATAGAAATCCACGGCAGGCAGTTAGAAGCCAGCGGCCAGGGTGAAGCTGAATCCTATTGGGCATCGTGGGCTTCCGAGAGGCTGGAGCCTGGAGGGGGCGTTCAGAGGGATCCAGAATACATATGATGTTCGGATGGAGGTTCCGAAGAGTCTGTAAGCCCCCCCCGTCACCCCTAACCTGCGGAGTGGAGGACCCAGAGAGGTTGAGCCGGGAGCAGAGGAGGAGGAGGAGGAGGAGGAGGAGGAGGAGGAGGAGGAGGAGGAGGAGGAGGAGGAGGAGGAGGAAGAGGCGGAGGAGGAGCACGAGAAGGAGGAGGAGGAAGAAGAGAGAGAACAACAGGGAGAGCGGGTTCTAGGGCCTTGTTTGGCGAAAGGCGCTGGGTCTGGCAGCGCTTTTGGAAATTCTCGGAATCTCTTGGGAGGCTCTGGGGCTTCTAAGAGTGGTCTGGGGCCTTCCTTGTGTTCTGAGGCTTCCGTTGGGGCTTCTGGGAAAACAGACGAAACTTCCAAAGGTGCTGGGACTGGAGACTGTCCTCGAATGTCCTGGAGGGGTCTGTGCCATCTCGAAGTGGTCCTGGGAGGGATCTCGTGGTCGAGGGACTGTCTTTGGGCCACCGAGGTGGCTGCAGGTCCCCCCTGTTGGATGCTGGTCCCCGGAGTGTCTGCAGGTACCCCCGCCCCCGTCGCGCCTAATCGGCCGTTGAGGGGGGGGGGGGGGGCGACCGAAGTGGCTGCAGGTCCCCCCTGTCACACCTAACAGGCGGAGTGGATGCCCCAGAGCGGACAGAGCTTCAATGAGGGCAGGAGCAGCAGAGCAGAGGAAAAGATGCTCCCCGTCACCCCGAATCGGCCGTGGAGGCGGAGGTCTTGAGGGCGACCCTGGCACATCTCAGGAAGGTCCTGGGAGCGCAGTGACTGCAGGCCCCTCCCCCTGTTGTCCCTCATGGGCCGTAGAAGGGGGCGCGATCGTAGTGGCTGCAGGTCCCCAAGGGCTCCCAACTTCGCGCTTCGCGTTGCGCAAAGCGCGACGTGCGAATAACTTCGCGCTCTCGCGCCGCCTCCCAGGGGAGAAGGAGGAGGATGAGGAGGATGAGGAGCCGAACCGCGAAGCGCGAATAACTTCGCGCCCTCGAGGGCACCCTTGGAAGGAGGACGAGATCAGAGGAAAAGGTCCCCCCTGTCAGCCGCAGGGGGGAAGGAAGTCCTGAGGGCGACTCTGGAGCACCCCAAGAGAGCCCCGAGGCGGCCCATGAGAGGCCACCGAGGACGGCTCCCAGCGGCGTCGGACGGGCCAGGAGGCCATCCAGACGGCACAAGATGGCTCCAAGGTGGCCCAAGACGGCCCAAGAGGCCCCCAAGAGGTCTCCAAGACGACCCAGGAGGCTCCCAAGAGGGCCTCCAGGAGGGCCCGAAGAGGCCAGAATCATTGATTAGCCTTAGGTCTTGGAATCATTGTGGCATTTGCTTATTTTCGGCCGTCCGACTTCCGGAGACGGTCCAAGAGCCCCAAAAGACCGCCCCACGATCGCCCAGGTGGCCTGATGGCCCCAGAACGGCCCAAGAAGCCCCCAAGACGATCCCAAGAGGGCCCCAAGACTGCCCAAGAGGCCTCGAAGACGCCAAGATGGCCTCCAAGACGGCCCTGCAGCACCCCAAGAGGGCCTCAAGACGGTCCAGAGAGGACCCCAAGACGGGTTCCGACGGCCAGGCATGCCATAAGACGGCCAAAGAGCCCCCAAAAGCTCCCAAGAGGGCCAAGGAGGCCCCGAGATGCCTCCAAGAGGCTCCCAGGGAGCTCCCAGGAGGCCCCAAGAGTGCCCCCAGAGGCTCCCAAGATGCCGCCTCCTCCTCCTCCTCCTCCTGAGTGATCTTCCCCGCCATCCTCCCCCATGTGTTTCCCGAAGGGTTTCTACGACGGCTGAGGAAACATGGTCCGATAGCTTGGCAGAGATCTTGCCACAACGCACGGCCACCTGGGCGATTCCAAAAGGCAGAGGGCGGCGGTGTTTCGCCGTAGGCGTCTTGGGTAGTGATGATGATGGTAAGATGGTGGCGATGAGTGTGAATCAGGGGAGGGGGGTCGGAAGAGGGGATTGCGAGGTGTGAGAGCTGCGCAGGGTGTCCAGAGAAAACATGGAGCCCCTTATAATGTTTGAAACAACATGTTTTTGCTTGATTTCTGGCCTCGTGGAACCATCTTCGGAGTTCTCGTGTGCCCCTTTAGAGAAGGCCGTCCCGGGGGCCTAGTGGGCCACCTTGGGGCCATGGTGAGGTCTGGGACCGTCTGGAATCAGCTCCGGGGCCCGTTCTGAGCTGTCTTGGGGCCCTCGCTGGCCGTCTTGGTGGGCCCACCGGAGCCTCCTCGGCCATCTCTGTGCGATCTTGTAAGAACCTGGAGCTGTGTAGGGCTGTTACGGGCCCGTCAATGGCAGAACGGGGACCTTCTTGGAAAATACAATGTTTTTGCGTGTGTGTTCGCCTCGTAGGGCCGCCATCGGGCTCCTCATGGGGCCTCTGGAGCCGTCCTCGGAGCCTTGTGGGCCATCTTGAAGCCATGGTGGTCTGGGGCTGTCGGGGTGCCTTGCCTGAGCCCTCCTGGGCAGCTCCTGGGGTGTCTTGGGGGACCACTTGAGGCTTTCTGTCTCGGGGCTCTCGTGGACCGTCTTGGTGGGCTCGTGTTGGCCGCTTGGGCCATTTTTGCGCGATCTTGAAGGGCCTGGAGCCGTGCGGGGCCGTTCTGGGCCCGTCACGGGCAGAAAGAACTTGAAAAAACCCTTGAAGCAAATACAGCTGTTGAATGTCTTTTTAGCTCGTGGGGCCGTCATCGGGGTCCTCGTGGGCCGTCTGCGGGGCCTCCTGGCGAACCTTCAGGCTGCCGTCCTGGCCCCTCCCGGAGCGCCTCAGAGCTGCCTTGGGGCTCTCTGAGGTCGGGCTCTGGGCGCTCGGGCGAGCTCCAGAACGGTTGTTTCCGCAACGCCCAACTCACAAGCGTCGCGACCAGAACAGATGATAGCTGCAAGTACATGTGGAATGGATCTTCCCCTTGTTGTGATTCGTTGCCTTTGAGTTCCGCTCCCCCCGCTACCCCCTTCGCAACTCAAGTAAGTTGGTGCTTGGTGGGCCCTGGAAACGACAGGGCCGGTTTTTTACCAGTCCCGTTTTGCCGTTTTTATGCCGGTTCCAACGCCGTTCTTTTACTGGTTCCGTCGCCGTTTTTTGACCGGTTCCGGCTCCGGCTCCAATCCTGGAGCCGTTTTTTTGCCGTTTCCGGTCGCCGTTTTTTTGCCGTTTCCATCTTCAAGGGATTATTTGTTGGAAACGGTGAAAAAACGGCCCTGCCGTTTCCGGGGCCCACAATGGGTTGGTGGTTATACTTCGTTGCTTTGAGATTCTGCCTCTCCCATCCCCGCTCTGGCAAATACGTCTGCGGCGACGACGACGGCGACGGCGGCGTCTCTTCGGAGCCTCGGGGGGTAGTTTTTTGGGTGATCGCGGGCCATCCTGGGCCGTTTCTCTGGCTCTTGGGCCGTGCTGGTGCAGTTTTGGGGCTCTCTTGGGCCTGTTGAGGCCCTCCTGGGGGCCCTCATGTGGCGGTCTCTTGGTATGCCACGGGGGCCTTTTGGGCCGTGTTGAGGGCATCTCGAGCAATCTTGGAGCGCTCTTGGGCCATCTCAGGCCGTATTGGACCGAACGAGCTGCTCCGAAGGCCCCCAGGGCGGCTCCGAGGGCCCGTGTGGATTGGCCTGGGACTGCTGCTTCGCTGTCACTGGAAACCTCTTTCGAGAACCGTGATCCCGGCTTTGTAGATGACGTCGGGCACCATCTTCGCCGCGCACATCTCGCAGAGCAGCGCCAGAGCCCGCCTCCACTGCTCGGCCCTCTCGCATGTGCTGACACCAACGCTGTAGCTCACTAGTGCGAACCCGTGGGGAGTCCACGGCAGGGCGAAGCCAGCGGCCAGGGTGAAGGTGGCTCCTGCTGGTCCCCCGCGTCACCCCTCATTGGCCGTGTGAGCGACCTGGCAGGTTTGGGCGGTGCTGGACGAGGGAGGTGGAGGATGAGGGGGTCCTTGAGAAATTCGAGGGTGATGCAGAGGAGGCGGCGGAGCGGAGAACGAGGTGGAGAGGAGGACAACGAGAGGGGACGCGAGCAGAGGAACGCGAATGGGGAGGCTGGAGGAACAGGAATGGAGAGCCGTCACCAATGCAGTGCGCATGGTGCTGGCGCAGGGACCCCGAAGTGTCTGCAGGTCCCCTCCGTCGCCCCTAACTGTCTGGGGAATTGTCCCAGAGCGACTGGATGTTCCAGGGGCCGCTCGAAAGACTTGAGGGTCTGGAGAGGTCCCCCCCGTCGCCTCCTTGGTGTCTGGAGAGCCTCGGGGACTATGTTGGGGGGGGGGTCCAGGGGACCTGTGGGCTTCTCCTTCGTCTTTGGGGCATCCTGGGCTGCATTTGGAGACTTCTGGGGCCGTATGTGAGCGCTCTCGGGCGGCCTTGGAGCCGTATTGGGGCCATCTCGTGTGAGTCTTGGCCCCGCAAGAGGGCTCAGATGAGTATCTGAGGCTCTCCGGGCAGCCTCCAAGGCTATATTCGGAGCGATACGGAGCGGAAGAGTGGGAAGCAATGGAACTGTGAAAAAACGATTGGGTTTTGATTATTTTCGCCTCCCTGGGGCGGTCCCCTGGGCGAACGGTCTGGGGTCGATTTGGAGCCGCGTTGGCGCCATCTTGGGCTACATGGGACCCACGGAGAGCCTTTGGCGAGCTCACGGAGCCTCCTTCCTGGCCCGGGTGGGCGTCTTGAGGGGATGTCTGGAGGGTTCCTGGTGAACTCGGTGAGGCTCCGAGCGGCACTGGAAGGGGTCTGGGGCTGCGCGCTGGTGGCACTCACCGCCTGTCTTGCACGCGCTGCGGCCAGAATTGTAATACAGATAGAATTGAGCTCGATCTTCACCTTACGCATCTCGCTGAGTAGTCCCAGAGCCCGCTGCCACTGCATACAATTCCTGCACGCGCTGATCCCAGCGCTGTAGCTGATAAAGGTGGGCTCGACCTTCACTTCGCGCATCTCGCTGAGCAGTCCTAGAACCCGCTGCCACTGCATGCCTTTCTCGCACGCGCTGATCCCAGCGTTGTAGCTGACTAGGGCAGACCTGTGGACTCCGTCCACGACATCAGCTCGACGTGGCCAGTTGAAGGCGCTCTCCACACCCTCCGGGACCTCCTGCTCTCCTGTGTTCCTGAGCTGCTGCTGCTGCTCGGAGGTCCTGCTGTTTCCTCCCCCTCCTCCTCCTCCTCCTCCTCCTCCTCCGCCTCCTCCTCCTCCTCTTCTACCTTCTTCTCCTCTTTCGCTGGATTCTCCATGCCCTCGGTCGGCAATCGTCGATCCTACGACGACTCTCCCCAACAGACATCGAAGGCCCTCGGAGCGTCCAACATTGTTCTTTTGTGCCTTCGATATGCCGGTCGCCTCTCGTCCGCTCCCCCCCTCCTGGAAGCAATTCTGAGGCCACGTAGGGCTTCGTGGGGGCCGTTTGGGGATCTCTTGGGGCGTTTTTGCCTGCGATATGCCTGTCGCCTCTCGTCCGCTCCCCCGCTCCTGGAGGGAATTCTGAAGCCACTGAAGGCTTCGTGGGGGCCGTTTCGGAGCCTCTTCGGCCTTCTTTTGGGCCTCCCGGGGGGGCTCTTAGGGCCCTCTCGGGCCGTCTTGGGTGCCTCTTGGGCCGTCTTGGGGCCGTCTGAGGCCCGCCTCGGCGCCTCTTGGGCTGTCTTGGGCCGTCTTGGGCCGCTCCTGGGGCCGTCTTGGGTGCCTCTTGGGCCGTCTGGGGCGCCTCCTGGGCCGTCCTGGGGCCGTCCTGGGGCGTCCTGGGGGCCCTCTCGACATGTCCTGGAGCCTGCCTGGGCGGCCCGGGGCGGCCCGGGGCCAGCCCGGGGCGGTTTCGGTGCATTGGGGCCTGCGCCATTCTGGCACGCACTGGGCCCTGCAATGTAGTAGAGACTAGGGCTGACCCGTGGACTCCGTCCACGACATCTTTCTGGAATGGTTCTCGGAGGAACGGCGGACATGCTGCCGAAAACCTATAAGCATGGCGGCGGCCAGGGCGGCGGCAGCGAGACCGTACCTTCGTGTCCGAGCTCTTGCAGCGCTCCAGCAGCTTGGCCCCGGCGCACGGCTCGTTCGCCCTCGTCCGCCCCCCTCGCTTCGAGGCAGATTTGAAGCCCCGTGGGACCTCTTGGGGACCTCTATTGGGCTCCTGGGGGACTCTTGGGCCTCTCTGGGCCCGTCTATCGCGCCCCTTGGGCTGTCTTGGGGCCCCCTAGGGCCTTCTTGGGCGGTCTTGGAGCCGTCTTGGGCCGCTCTTCGGGCCATCTTGGGGTCCCGTTGGCCTGTCTTGGGCGCCTCTGGGGCCGTCCTGGGGCCGCCTTGGACCGTCTTGGAGCCCTTTTGGACCGTCTTGGGGTCCTCTTGGGGACCTCTTCGACCGTCTTGGAGCGGTCTTGGATGCCTCTGGGGGGGTGTTCGGAGCGTCGGGAAGCCGAAAAAGCGGGGAAGCAAAAAACCTCGAAAAAAACACATGAACATCAACGATTGTGGCCTCTCGGGGCTCTCTTGGGAGGCCTTTTGGGAAGCCTATTGGGCCGTCTTGGGGAGCTCTTGGGCCGTCTTGGGCCAATCTTGGGCGTCTTGGCCGGATCATTGCGCGTCTCGGGGCCCTCTTGGGCCGCCTTCGGGGCATCTTGAGCGGCTCGGAGCCGTCTTTGGGCCGTCGGGGCGGCCTCCAGAGCGTCTCGGAGCCGTCCTGGGGCCGCTGGGGCGCCGAGAGCCCCCAAGCTCTTCCCGACCCTTCCCGCACGCACGTGCTGCTGCAATGTAGTAGAGATAAAGGTGGGCTGGAGCTTCACCTCACACATCTCGCTGAGCAATCCTAGAGCCCGCTGCCACTGCTCGCCTTTCTCGCACGCGCTGATCCCGGAGTTGTAGCTGACTAGGGCAGACCTGTGGACTCCGTCCACGACATCAGCTCGACGTGGCGAGGGGTCTCTGGGCAAGCGCGGGGGGGTGCGGCTGCAGGGCCGAAAGGCAATCAGCTGCTGCTGCTGCTCGGAGGTCCTGCTGCTTCCTCCCTCCTCCTCCTCCTCCTCCTCCTCCTCCGCCTCCTCCTCCTCCTCCTCATCCTCTTCCACCTGCTTCTCCTCTTTCGCTGGATTCTCCATGCCCTAGGTCGGCAATCGTCGATCCTACGACGACTCTCCCCAACAGAGAAACATCGAAGGCCCTCGGAGCGTCCAACATTGTTCTTTTGTGCCTTCGATATGCCGGTCGCCTCTCGTCCGCTCCCCCCCTCCTGGAAGCAATTCTGAGGCCACTTAGGGCTTCGTGGGGGCCGTTTGGGGATCTCTTGGGGCGTTTTTGCCTGCGATATGCCTGTCGCCTCTCGTCCGCTCCCCCGCTCCTGGAGGGAATTCTGAGGCCACTGAAGGCTTCGTGGGGGCCGTTTCGGAGCCTCTTCGGCCTTCTTTTGGGCCTCCCGGGGGCTCTTAGGGCCCTCTCGGGCCGTCTTGGGTGCCTCTTGGGCCGTCTCGGGGCCCCCTGAGGCCCGCCTCGGTGCCTCTTGGGCTGTCTTGGGCCGTCTTGGGCCGCTACTGGGGCCGTCTTGGGTGCCTCTTGGGCTGTCTGGGGCGCCTCCTGGGCCGTCCTGGGGCCGTCCTGGGGCGTCTTGGGACTGTCTTGGGGCCCTCCTGGCCCGTCTTGGGGCTCTGTTGGGGTCATCTTCGGCCGTCTTGGGGCGGTCGGGGGGACTTCTTGGGCCGTCTTGGAGCGTCGGGAAGCCGAAGAGGCGAGGAGGCCGAAAACATAGAAAAACACAATAGAAATTAACGATTTCTGTCGCTCGGGGCCCTCTTGGGAGGCCTCTTGGGAGGCCTCTTCGGGCGTCTTGGACGCCTCTTGGGCCGTCTGGGGCGACTCTCGGGCGTCTTGGGCCCGTCTGTAAGCGTGCCGGGGCTCTCCGGGGCCGTCTTGGGGGCTTCTGGGGGCCCTCTCGACATGTCCTGGAGCCTGCCTGGGCGGCCCTGGGCGGCCCGGGGCCAGCCCGGGGCGGTTTCGGTGCATTGGGGCCTGCGCCCTTCTGGCACGCACTGGGCCCTGCAATGTAGTAGAGACTAAGGCTGACCCGTGGTCTACGTCCACTTGTAGGGCGAATGTGTGCTGCCCAAAGTGGGCACAAATGGCGTCGAAAACCTGCCCTGCCCTATCATGATAGGGCAGGGCCGAGACCCTCGAAGAGACCCCATGAACCCCCAAAGGTGGCCCGACATGAGCACCGATGGGAGCCGGAGATTGCCAAAGTGGGCCCACATGGCGTCGAAAACCTGCCCTATCATGATAGGGCAGGGCCGAGACCCGCCAAAAGACCCGATGAAGCCCCAACAATGGCTCGAAATGATCGCCGATAGGAGCCGGAGATAGCCCAAAGTGGACCGCGTCGAAAACCTGCTCTACATTACAGGGCAGGGCCGAGACCCGCCAAGAGACTTCTGGGGCCTGTTCCAAAAACCGCCCGAAACTATGAACCCCACCGAGGCGGGGCGATTCTGGGCCACTAGAAAAGCGAAACACTGCATGGCCCCAAGAGGCCGTGGAGAGGGCTCCAGACCGACCATCTTAGGCCGTCTTTGGCTGCTGTTGGTGCTGTCTTCGGTGCTTCTTGGGCCGTGATCTTGGGGCCTCCGGGAGTTGTTTAGGAACCTCTGAACGCTTCTTTCTGGTCTCCAAGAAGCCTCCTGGCGCCCTCTTGGGCTGTCTCGGGCGCCCCTTGGGCGGTGTGGAGGCGATCCGGGGCCGTCTGGGGGTTGTCTGGAGCCGTCTTGGGCGTCTCCGGAGCTGTCTGGGCACCGTCTGGGGGCCGTCCTGGGCCGCTCTTGAGGCTGCCTTGGGAACCCCGTCGGCCGCCAGGGGCGGCTCAGGAGCGGTCCTGGAGCTATCTTGGGACCTGTATGGCCGCCTTGGACGCTACAAAGAGGGCAAGCCCGAGAACTGCCAAAATGCACGCTTTCCCGAGGGAATGGGACGATTTTTCGGTGTTCGGGTTATCTTGGGGCTCGTCGTGGAGCCCACTTGGAGCGTTTTGGAAGCCTCGTGGGCCGTCTGGAAGCCGTCTGAGGCATTGTCGGAGCCATTTGGGGGTTGCCTAGGACCGCCGTGGGCGTCTCTGGAGCAGTCTGGGCACCGTCTGGGGGTCGTCTGGGGCCGTCCTGGGCCGCTCTTGAGGCTGTCTTGGGAACCCCGTCGGCCGCCAGAGGCGCTTCAGGAGCCGTCCTGTGCCATCTTGGGACCTGTATGGCCGTCTTGTACGCAATGAAGCAGGCAAGCCCGGGAACTGCCGAAATGTACGTTTTCCCGACGGAATGGGATGATTTGTCGGTGTTCGGGCTCTCTTGGGCCTCGTCGTGGAGCCCACTTGAACATGTTGGAAGCCTCTTGGACCACCGTCTTCGGCCGTCTGCGGGCCTTCTGGGGGACCTCTCTTGGGCCATCTTGGAAGCGCGCCGAGGCCTGCTGGGGCTCGCAGTGGCCGCCGGAGGGGGCCGGTCCGCTGCCACCGATCGGCACCTCCGCGAGCGCTGGTCCGGCCATTGTAGGAGAGACGAGTGTGAATCCAAGGACAATCTACTGCCTCCTTTTCAGAGGTCTTTGGGCCTCTTGGGAGCCAGTGCGGCTGTGTGGGAATATCGTTGGGCTGTCTTCGGGGTCTCCAGGGGCCTCCTTGGGCCGCCTCGTAGGCCGCCTCGGGCAGCGCTGGGGCCGTCTTTCTCGCGTCGGGGGCCGTGCTGGGAGCCGCTGGGGCTGTACTGGGATCGTATATTGTATGTGTGGTGTGTGCGGGCTTCGTTGGGCTGTCTTGGGATTGCTCAAGGGCCTTCTTGGACTGCCTTGTTGGGCCGCTTCGTGGGCCGCCTTGGGCAGCGCTGGGGCCGTCTTGCGCGCGTCGGGGGCCGTGCTGGGAGCCTCTGTGGCGGTACTGGGGGTCGTATCGTGTATGTGGGGTGTGTGAGGACTTCGTTGGGCTGTCTTGGGATTGCTCAGGGGCCTTCTTGGACCGCTTTGGGGCGAGCTCGGGGGCATCCTGGGATGGGCGGGCGTTTTGTGGGAATGCCTGGGGGTCTTGTTGGGCCATTGTTCTTCGAGACACCTGGGGAGCCACACCGCTGTAGGGCCTTGGTTTTGGGTCAGGGGCTTTCTTGGAGGCTACCGGGGATCCACACACAGGGAGAGGTGCCAAGGCTGGAGGCTTTCTTGGGAGCTCTGTGGCCTTGGGCAACGCTGGGGCCGTCTTGCGCGCGTTGGGGACCGTGCTGGGAGCCCCTGGGGCTGTACTGGGGACCGTTTTGGGGCCTCTTGGAGCCTCTTATGGGCCTCTTGGGTCCCTCTTGGTGCCTCTTGGGGGCGTCTGGGGGGCCTCTTGGGGCCTCCTCGGCGCCTCTTGGGGCCTCCTCAACTCCTGGGTGCTTCTTGGGGCGAAAGGCTCAGATTTTCGGTTCGCGTTCCCTCTCTTGGCCCCCTTTTGGGGCCGTCTTAGGGCTCTCTTGGGCCGTCTTGGGCGCCTCTTGGGCCGTCTTGGGGTCCTCTTGGGCTGTTTGGGGGCCCTCGTGGAGGCCTCTTGGGCCGTCTTGGGGCGGTCTTGTGGGCCTCGAGGGCCGTCTGGGAGCGTCGGGAAGCCGAGACGTCGAGAACGCCCAAACCCTTCAAACACCTTAGGAAAATCCGTGATTTGGGCCTCTCGGGGCCCTCTTGGGGGGCCTCTTGGTGGTCTCCTGGGGCGTCTTGGAGACCTCTGGGGCCGTCTTGGGCCCAGCTTGGGTGTCCTGTGCCGACCACTGATCGTCTCGGGGCCCTCTTGGACCGTCTTAGGGGCACCTTGGGGCCCACTTGGCCCGTCTGGGGGTCTCCCTGAGCGGCCCGGGGGCTCCCGGGAACGTCCCTGGGCGGGCCGGGGCGCTGCCGCGGATTCTCCTCCTCGCACGCGCCGCGACCAGAATTGTAGTACAAATGACGTTGGGCTCCAGCTTCGCCTCCCTCATCTCGCTCAGCAGCGCCAGGGCCCACTTCCACTGCTCGCCCTTCTCGCAGGCACTGATCGCAGCACTGTAGCTGACTAGGGCTGACCCTTGTCCTTTTGGCCGCGGAATCTGCCTGCTATGGCGTGGACGAGGAAGTGGAGCGTCTCCGGGGCCTCGCAGGCGAGGGAAGTTTGGAGGGGAGGTTGGATGGACCAGGTGGCCGCTGGAGGGGAGGTGGGCGAGGGATGCAGGCAAGCACGCCTGACGGCAAGAACGCGATGGTAGAGGCGGTGTCAGTGGAAGCACACCCATGCAGGCATGACATGGTGTGGACAGAAGCTGTTCCTCACGCCGCAGTATGTGTTCATCATAGCTTCTGCGGGGAAGGTGGCCGTGATAATTGTATCTGCTCCTCGCCGGGGCCGAATGATAATTTAGTGTGGTGACAATGGGGCCGGTGGGCGCGGCCTAAGAGGTCCGCAAGAGGGTGGCGAGACGGCCCAAAAGGTCTCCAGGACGGGCCACGAAGCTTCTTAAACGGTCCCAGAGGTCCCCACGAACTCCCTAAGTCGGGCCCCAGTGCGAGGACACGAATCGGCCTTTCGAGCGCACCGCCCCAAGACGCCCCCAAAAGGCGGAGAGATGGCTCCCAGAGGGTCCAAGACGCCCCTCGGACAACGCTGGAAGTTCGACACTCCCCAAAAGAGAAGGATCCAAGGCCTCTTGGGGGCCGTTTGGGGGCCTATTTTCGTCCTCCTGGGGGTCTCTCGGGGCCCTCTTGGGCCGTCTTGAGTGCCTCTTGGGCTGTCTTTGGGCGATGTGGGGCCGTCTCGGGTGCCTCTCGGACCATCTTGAGACCGTCTTGGGGCCATCTTGGGCCGATCTTGGGCGCTCTTGGGTCTGTCTTGGATGCTTATTGGGCTGTCTCGGGCGCTTCTGGAGCCGTCCCGGGGCCGTCTCGGGCCGTTTGGGTGGGGCATCTGGGGGCATCTGGGGGCAGTCGTCTGGGAGACTGTGCATATGGAAAAGCTTGGAGACGGGGTGGTGGGGGCCTGCACAGCCGTCTTGGAGATGGGGCTCTGAGGCCGCCTAGGGCTATTATGAACTGCTCTTGGGGCTGTCTTGCGTGCGTCTTGTGCCGTCTGTGGGGCTTTTTGGGGGCCCTCCTGGGAGCCTCTCGGCGCGTCTTCGGGCGAGCTGGGGGCCTGAGTAGCCGTCTTCGGCGCTGCGAGGACGAAAAAACAAGACATAGTGAACATTTGCGTTTCCCGTCGGGAATGGGACGATGTTGGCCTCTTGGGGCTCTCCTGGAGGTCCTTCTAAGCCATCTTGGGAGCCTCCTGGCCTTGGGGGCCTCTGAAGCTGCCCTGGGGCTCCCAAGGGTACTCTGAAACTGTCGTGGGTGCGTCTTGGGCCGTCTCGGGTGCCTCTGGAGCCGTTCCGGGGCCGTGAGGGGCCGTTTGGGGGCCCTCCTGGGGGCCTTTGGGCGCGTCTTGGGGCGAGTTGGGGGACCTGTATAGACGATATAATAAACATGTGCGTTTCCCGTCGGGACTGCGACGATTTGGGCCACTTGGGGCTCTCCTGGAGGCCCTCCTGGGCCATCTTGGGAGCCTCCTGGCCTGCTTTGGTGGGGCTGTCTTGGGGCTGCCAAGGGTGCTCTGAGGCCGTCTTGGCGCCCCCTGGAGCCTCTCGGAACCGTCCCGTGGACTATTATGAATTGCGCTTGGGGCTGTCTTGGGTGCGTCTTGGGCCGTCTGGGGCTCCTCTGGAGCCGTCCCAGGGCCTCCTCGGGCCGTTTGGGGGCCTTCCTGGAGTGCTCTGGGGGCGTCTTGGGGCGAGCCGGGGGCCTGTAAAGCAGTCTTGGACGCGGTGAAGACGAAAAAAGCGAGCATATCAATAATTAATGTTTTCCGCAGGGAATGGGGCAATATTTGCCTCTTGGGGTCCTCCTGGGCCGCCTTGGGAGCCTCCTGGCCTGCCTTGGAGGCCTCTGGGGCCGACCTGGGGCTTGGTTGGGCCCCTCTTGGTCTGTCTGGGCGCCCTCGTGGGCGTCTCTGAGCCGTCTCGGAACGGCCCAGGGGCTCGCAGGGCGGCCCCGAGGGCCCGGCCAGTCTTTCGGGACAGAGGACCTCCTGGCACGCAAAGGTCGCTGCATTGTAGAAGAGACTAGTGTGAAGCCGTGTATTAAATCCACGGCGTGCTGAGCCTGGGACTCGCACGCCGCAGGTGACCAGCTCGTTGATGTTGAACAGCTCGGGCGTCCCTGGGGCGGTTGGGGCGACCTTCGGAGGCATATGTGACGGGCACGTTTAAGGGCAATGATTGGGGGCTGTGTGTGGGGGGGTCACGTTTGGGGGCGCCTGGCGGCCACGCGTGGGGGTGACGTTCGAGGGCCACGCTTACTGGGGCGATAGGGGCGACCTTCGGAGGCTTTGCGTGGGCGCCGCCATTGGGGCTCCTGTCTGGGGGCCACGTGTGGGGCCGACGTTTAAGGGGCCACGTCAGGGGGCCATCCCAGGAAGCAGTTGGGGGCACTGGCCTGGAAGCGTGAAAAGAAATGGGATGTTGCTAATCTTAGCAAACATACAGAAGGGTTTTCAGGCACAGTCAGAGTGAGGGGGGCAAGTTTGTGGGCTTCGGTTGGGGGCCGCGCAGGAAGGTCTTGGGGCCATCTTGGGGGTCTCAGGCCGACTCGGAGGTCGTTTTGGGCCTTTTTGGGTGGCATCTTGGTCCCTTCTTGGGGCGTCTTGGGGCCATCTTGGGGGTCTCGGGCCGTTTCGGAGGTCGCTTTGGGCCGTCGGGCGGGGTCTGGGGCCCGGTTAGGGCTGACTTGGGGGTCACTTGAAGCTCTCTTGGGCAGTCTTGGGGCCCTCTTGGGACGTCTACGGGCCTTCTTGGGGCCCTCTTGGACCGTGCAGCGGCGATGTGGGAGGCCCCCAAGGCCATCCGGGAACAGGAAAACCATCAAAACTCGGGGGAAAAAAAACAACCAAGTGTTGCCCCTTGGCGCCGTCCAGGCGGTCCTCTGGGGCCGTCTCTGAAGCCTTTTTGGGCCGTCAGGGGGCTCCGGTCGGGTCGGCTTCGGCCCTCGTGGGCGTCTGTGAGGCCGTCTTGGGGCAATCTGGGGGTCCTGGAGCCCTCGGCGAGCGCTCCAAGGGCCTCCTGAGGCCATCGAGGAGCGTCCCAGAAGCTCGCCGGGCGGCCCGCGGGCTCTCTGGGCGGCCCGGGGCGCTGCAGCAGATGTTCCTTCTCGCACGCGCCGCGACCAGAATTGTAGTACATATGACGTCGGGTTCCAGCTTCGCCTCTCGCATCTCGTTCAGCAGCGCTAGCGCCTGCTGCCACTGCTCGCCCTTCTCGCACGCGCTGATCCCAGCATTGAAGCTGATGACGTCGGGCTCCAGCTTCGCCTCCCGCATCGCGCTCAGCAGCGCCAGCGCCGGCTGCCACTGCTCGCCCTTCTCGCACGCGCTGATCCCCGCATTGTAGCTGACTAGTGCGTACCCGTGGGGTGGATCACTACCATCGAAGCACATGGGGCAGTGCCTGTAAGGCAGGGTCCAACAACCTGTCACGAAAAAGGGTATTGCTTGTGACAGGTTGTTGACTACTCTTGGAGCCTTTTGAGGCTCTCCGTGGCCGTCGTCGTCGTCGCCGTCGTCGTCGTCGTCGTCGTCGTCGTCGATGCCGCCTCCGGCGACGATGACGACGGCGGCGACAACGACGACGACGACGACGACGACGACGACGACGACGACGGCTACGGCCCTCAGAGGGCCGCACGGCCAGAGAAAAAACGGGGGGGCGGCCCGACGACGACGACGACGACCTTCTCGCTGAAGGAAAACTTGCGGCTCGCAGGCCCAAGTGGGCCGTTCGGACCAGGCAGCTGGCAGGATCCGTTGTTTTTTCGGTGGCCCTAAGAGGCCTTACGGCCAGAGAAAAAACGAAGGGGCGGCCCGCCGACGACGACGACGACGACGGCTCCTGGAGTGGCTGTGCACCGCGTCGCCCATGGTGAAAGAGGCAGGTGGAAGCACTGGTCGATGACGAAGCTCACGACCGAATCCGCAACCTCCGGTAGGGAGGTCAGGCGTTCAGGTGTGGCCCGTCTTGGCGGCGCTCCCCTGGCTCACTTGGGGCTCTCTGGGTAGCCTCTTGAGGAATCCTTTTGGAGCTCTTTGGGGCCGTCTCAGCGCTCTCTGGGGCCATCCTGGGGCCTTCTTGGGTCGTCTTGGAGGGCTCGGGCTGTCTTGGGGTCCTCGTGCTGCCGTCTGGGGCTCCCTTGGGAGCCTCCCGTGGCCCCCTCGGGGCTTTCCTGAGAGCGTTTTGGAGCCCTCGTCCGTCTTGGGCCGTCCTGGAGTTCCCTGGGGCCGTCTTGGGGCTCTCTTGGGCCGTCTGGGCGTGCTCTTGGGTGCCTCTGGGGCAGTGTTGGGGCGGTTTTCGAGGCTCATCCGGCCTTCTTGGCCGACCCAGAACGCGACTCTGGCAAAAATGCACGTTTTCCGAAAGGAATGGGGCGATTTTTGTTTCGTGGGGGTCCTTTCGGAAGCCTCAGGGGGCGGCTTCGGAGCGTCTCCGGCCGTCCTGGAGCCGTCTGCGGGGCGTACCAGGTCGATCTGGAGCGGTCTTGGGCCGTCCGCTGCGCGATCGGGGCGGCCCCGGGGGCTGCCCGGGGCGGCCTGGAGCGCCAAAGGGCTTGCTGGGAGCGGCCCGGAGGAGGCCGGTTCGATGCCACCGAAAGCTCTTCCACACGCGCTGAACGCTGCATTGTAGGGGAGATAAAGCTAACCCGTGGACTTACGTCCACGACAGCTTGAAATGGAAAAGACTGGGGGCTGCCCAGCCACAAGAAAAACAAACGAGTCAGGCTGCTTAGGGGCCTGGTGCAGCAATCGCGGCCTAAGATGGGCTCACGTTGGAACGTAGCCGAAGAGGTAAGAAAGGGCCCCCCTCAGAAGTTGCTCTGCCTCAGGAACTTGAAGTACACGTAGCAGAGTTGCTCGAAGTATGCAGCCACCCAACTGGAATACCTGAGCACATATGGAAACGGCAATACCGTCCACGACAGCTTGCCCGCGTGCAGAAGCTGCGATCGCTTACCTGCTTGCCTGCTGTTTTGGGCGCGTAGCTGGTAGCCAGACAGTTGTCTTCCCGACGTCACTGCCAGCACGCTGGCAGGCCAGGCGGTCGCAACTGACCCTCTGCCGCACGCCACGGCAGCGGGGATGGCCGCCAGCCGGCCGCGGGCAATGCAGCGGCTGATTGTTTTCTGGTGCTAGCTAGCTGCTGCCTTGTGCTGCCGGATATGGAGGCCGTGCTGGGGGGCCCAATGGCCGAAACTATTGGGGACCTCGTTGGGCCCTCTTGGGGCCGTCTCGGGGTTCTCTGCGGGTCTGTTGGGCCGTTGTGGCGCTCTCTGGAGGGCGTATTGGGCCGTCGGGAAGCTCTCCAAAACCTTTTGTAGTATTCTGGGGGCCCTCTGGGGCCGCCCTTGGGCTCTCTTGAGGCAGTCAAAGACCGCCCAGAGAGCCCTAAGACGGCCCGAAGACGGACCGAGACGACCCGAGGAGGCCCCGAAAACAACCCAGGAGTCTCGATGGGGGCCCCCAGAGGGCCCAAGGTGGACTGCAAGGAACCAGGTCTCCCCCGAAGCCGTCTCGGAGCCCTCTCGCGTCGAAAAGCCTGCGAAGCAAAAGACATACATCTTCCTTTGGGTGTTGGAAAGCTTTGCAATTGCCGCGGTCTTCTGGACAAGTTCTGCAAGAACTCTTGGGGCGTCTAAGGGCCTTTTGGACGCCTCTTGGGACCGCTTGAGATCTCTCGGGAGCCCTGCCTGGCGGCTGTCGGGGCCAATTCTGGCCATCTCGGACTTTACCGAAGGCTGTCTCTGCGACGTCTTGCAGAGCCCACAGGGACCCCGAGGCAGTGCCGACGCCGCTGGAGGCCGAGAAAGCGATTGGCCCACGCACTTGTCCCAGAATTTAAGGGATGATGATGATGATGGCTTCGAACTCCAATTTCAGAGTTTTTGACGTTGCGGCTCACTCTCGGGCGCCTCGGGTTGAAGAGCTTACTCTGAGACCGCTTGCTCTTGGGAGCCTTGGATTGAAAAACTTTGTACTGTACCGATCGGAGGGTTTCCTGGGGCCCTCTTGGGAGCCTTGTCGGGCCTTCTTGGAGCCCTCTTGGAGCCGTCTTGGCCCTTGGGCCATTTTTGGGCCCCCTTGCGCAGTCTTAGAGCCCTCTTGGGGGCCGCCTGGGTCGTCGTGGGAGGTGTTGGGGGGCCTCTTGGCTTGTCCTGAACCGCGTAACAACGCAAAGGGCGGAGATGCTAACAATGTACGCTTTCCAATGGAATTGTGACCAAGTTTGCCTTTCTGGCCTTCTCTCGGGGCCCTCTCGGAGCGTCTTTGTGGCCTCTTGGACCGCCTTGGAGCCACCTTCTGAAAACGTTGGGGCGTCTTGGATGCCTTGGACCGTCTTGGGGCTCTCTCGAGGGCGTCCTGGGGCCCTCTTGGAAGCCTCGTCGGCCCCTCTTGGAACCCTCTTGAAGCCGTCTTGGGGCCCTCTCGGACCGTTTGAAAGCCCCCTTGGGCCGTCTTTGGGCCTTCTTGTGCCATCTTGGGGCCCTCTTGGGGGCCGCTTGGGTCGCCTTGGGGGATTTTGGGAGGCCTCTTCGTCTGTCCTGGACCGTGTAACAACGCAAAAACCGGATATGCTGAAAATGTTCGTCTTCCCGCAGGAATGTGACGATGTTTGCCTCTATGGCGTCCTGTCGGGGCCCTCTCTTAACGTCTTTGGGACCTCTTGGACAGTCTTGCAGCCACCTGCAGAGGTCTTTGGAGCGTCAAGGCCCGCCTCGGCACCAACTGAGGCTGTCTTGGAGCGCTCTTGGACCGTCTTACAACCCCTCTGGGGCGCCTCTTGCGTCGTCGCGGGCGATTCGACCCCGTGGTGGGGCCGTGGAGGGGTGATTTTATGCGCTTGAGTGTCCACCCTTCTGGCACGCGCTTCAGCCCGCCATGTAGAAGAGACTAGGGCTGACCCGCGGCCTTCCGGCCGCGGCATCTGCACGCCATGGAGTGGACGTGAAAGTGGAGCGTCTCCGGGCCTCGCAGGTGAGGGGAGGTTGGAGAGGACGGCGTGGATGGACGAGGTGGCCGCTGGAGGGAGAGGTGGGAGAGGGATGCAGGCAAGCAGTCCTGAAGGCAGGAACGCGGTGGTGGAGTCGGTGTCAGTGGAAGCACACCCATGTAGGCATGACATGGTGTGGACAGAAGCTGTTTCTCACGCTGCCGTCTGTGTTCGTCATAACTTTTGTGGGGAGGTAGCCGTGAAAATTTGATCTGCTCATCGCTGGGGCTGAATGATAATCTTATCTGGTAGTGTGGTGACGCTGGGGCTGGTGGGCGCGGCCGAAGAGGCCCGCAAAAGGGCGGCGAGATGACCCAAAAGGTCTCCAGGAAGGGCCAATAGGCTTCCCAGACGGCCCCAGAGGGCCCCACGAACTCCCTAAGACGGGCCCCAGTGCGAGGACACGAATCGACCTTTCGAGCGCACCGCCCCAAGACGTCCCCGAAAGGCGTAGAGATGGCTCCCAGAGGGTCCAAGAAGACCCCAAGACGACGCTGGAAGTTCGACGCTCCCCAAGAGAGAAGGATCCAAGGCCTCTGGGGGACAGTCTGGTGGCAAATTTTCGTCCTCCTGGGGGTCTGGCCCTCTTGGGCCGTTTTGAGTGCCTCTTGGGCCGTCTTGGGGCGATGTGGGGCCGTCTCTGGCGCCTCTCGGACCATCTTGGGGCCGTCTTGGGGCCATCTTGGCCGATAGTGGGCGCTCTTGGGGTTGTCTTGGGTCTTTCTTGGGCCGCCTCGAGCGCCTCTGGAGCCGTCCCGGAGCCGCCTCGGGCCGTTTGGGGGTCAGGGGGCGCCCGGGAGCGGCCTGGGGGCCAGTACGGCCGTCTTGGAGGCTGTGCCGACGGAAAGGCTTGGAGACGGGGCGGCGGGGGCCTGCACAGCCGTCTTGGGCACGGGGCAGTGTGGCCGTCTTGGGCCTCTCTGAACTGCTCCTGGAGCTGTCGTGGGTGCGCCTTGGGCCCGTCTCGGGCGCCCCTGGAGCCGTCCTGCGGCCGTGTGGGGGGCCTTTGGGGGGCGCTCCTGTTGGCCTCTGGGCGCGTCTCGGGGCGAGCTGGGGGGCCTGCACCCCCGTCTTGGACGCTGCGAGGACGGAAAAACAAGATCTAGTGGAAATGTGCGCTTCCCGTGGGGAATGAGACGATTTGGGCCTCTTAGGGCTCTCCTGGATGCCCTCCTGGGCCATCTTGGCGGCCTCTGAGGCTGCCTTGAGCCGTCCCGTGGGCCATCAGTGACTGCTCTTGGGGATTTCTTGGGCGCGTCTTGAGCCGTCTCAGGCGCCCCTGGAGCCTTTCTGGGGCCGTGTGGGATCGTTTTGGGGCGCTCCTCGGGGCCTCTGGGCGCGTCTTGGGGCGTGCTG